GTGACGTTGTTAGTTAATAACTTAAATTATTAAAAGTCGCCTATGTATCATTTTGTTTATGTTTGTATTAAGCACTTCCTACAAGTAAAGTCAGCATGTTTTTATGAGACCCATCAAAGTTAAACAGCTATAAATGAACAATTACAAGTTAGATTAAAAAAACACACACAAAGAAAACATCCTGCATAATGAAAATTAATACCGTGCGTTTATTTATGGTTTCGTTCCCGCCACAACAAAACAAAAAGGAGCTAGATGAATGAATTTGAGGGGAGGAGACTAATCTATTCCAAAATTAATAAACCAGATACCCAAGCCACGCCGTGTATGGATTAACATCTGCTTCTGGACCCTCAGCAGCCTGCTTCCAATATCGACAACACGGTGTTTACCTGTAGCAGTGGGGGAGGTGACGGACAGCTCGCAATGCAAGCAAAAGGAAGCGTGTATGTGCAATATAAGATCGCATATCATAGCCGTGCAATACATGTGCAATACAATACACATGTTCAAAGGAAGAATTGAAAAAAAATTGATAAATACTCCCACGAATCGTCGCACTTAAATATGAATTTTGAATTATGGAAATGTTAAGTATTCCCTACAAATTATGTAAATACAAGAATAATGCAATCTGTAAACGATAACTGTGACACATATAACATCAACCTCCAAAACTTTAAACAGCTTTTATTTAAATGCTGTTTTAAAGAGTGTCAGTTTCTCGGGCCTATGAGCTGCCAGTAGGATTCACGCGTTCGGCACGCGCCACGATCGGAGCAACAGATGGGACCCCCCACCCCACCTCACCCTTCCTCGTCTCCCGTCTCTATGCACACCCTACCCTCCCCGTCTGCCGCTGCTGCACCACTCTCGCATCAGCATACCAGCCCCTGCTCCCGATCATGTGTCCTCTCGCCATAAATTTGCTTCACTCTTGTTTTGTCTCTTTTTTTTCCTTTTTTTTTTTGCGAGGGTGGGGTGGGGTGGGGGAGGGGGACATGACCGCAATGGTGCAATTGTTGTATTTTTGTAACACTCAAGTTAAAACGACATGATGAGTAGAAAAGGGAGAAAACATCTAGAATACTCAGAACTAGGAGTTCATAATAAAAATAGACAAAACTGCAAAAATGCATATAAACTCTCTCTGTTTTAAATGATGTCAAATAAATTTAGTAATAGATCTTTTGATGTTTAATGTCATTGGAAGCATTTTGCGCAGGGAATTCCCAAGGAAACAAGAAGGAGCGAGACATGTGCATTACACTGAAGTAAATTTTTACGCACGCGAAACCAGATATACCGCACAACAAACTCATAATTTAGGCAAAGATACGCTGTCCCATCGACTGCAATCTGCTCTGCTCTATAGCTTCAGGGATTTAACCTTCCTATTTTGTCAAGCATTACACATGCACGGCTTTGCACGCGCCCTGCCCCATGGGGCCTCAAATAACCGCCACCAAGTCCAGTATGGGAACTGGCACTTCGCGATAAGACGAAAAAAAAGTCCAGGAAAGGCTTCGGTTGGGACCCTTTTTTGTTTTGGTTTCAGCGTGGGTATCCATCTGTGCACGATCAGGGCACAGTGATCCTTTGTTGAAGGGTGTACAGAAAGTCACTCAAAGTTTTACAGCAACTGTGTGGGAGATGCACATATTTTGTTTGTTTTTTCCAGTAAAACTAGGTATTTACATCCCCATTTCATTTCTTCAACTCAACTAAAACTGTCAAATTGTTTATTACCGCGGAAATAAATCAATAAGAATACCAATTATAACATCTTCAGTATAATTTTGGACAAGGTTCAATCTGGATGAAGAGATGAAACGGCAAAGAGCTATCCTGTGCATTCAACGAAAACATCTTTAAAATCCTAATCGCTGAGTTTGTGTATGAGATTTAATAGAATTTGGTTGTATAAACGGCATGAGACTGACACGAGCCAAAGCGTTCAGACAGATGGAGCTGAAGCGCATTGAGGCGTAAAACCAAAAGCGTCGAAGGACTCTGCTCTGCCAAAGGTGATCGTCTCCACTTCATGGAGCCACATGAAAATTTCCAGACTTGGAGATTTTCCAGACTTCAAATCGCGACTGCACCCTAAACGATGTTTGGCGACCCAAGCCAAATTCTACGCTACCATTATCCACATGACACGAAAGCATCTGCTAGACTCAGGACTGACCTTTGTGTACGGAGCAAAAAAACAAA